GTCTCAGCTTCAAGTAAAACATGTCTCCTGGCTTGAAGTTTACTTCTCTCCTATGCTCATCAGCCCTCCTCTTCATGATCTGTTGGGCCTTTAACAAATATCATGTCCCTCTCCTCTCAGTATTGATCTACATTGGATACTGGTATCGTGATATGCTCATAATGTATGAAATGAGGTGGATCTCTCCTATAGAGAATCTTGAAAAGGATGGTCTGTGTTGTTGAATGGTATGAAGTGTTGTACCAATACTTAGCCCAAAGAATTCATTTTTCCCAACTCTTCGTCATATTCGATACAAAACATTGTAAATAGGTCTCCACGCTTATGTTGACCATCTCCATCTGGCCATCTGTCTGTGGAAGGTATGTCGTGCTCCTCTTTAGAACCGTCACCTGTAAACGGAGCAGCTCCTGCCAAAGATGACTGAGGAACATCTTATCTCTATTCGACACAATGAATTTTAGAAATCCATGTAAGTGCACTACCTCCTATATGAAAGTAGTATCTATAGAGATCGTAGAGTAAGGGTGCTTCTGAAGGATGAAGTGTGCATACTTAGATGATCCACTACTATCAGTATTAGAGAAAATCCCTCCTAACGCAGTAACCCCTCGAAGAAGTCCATCGTTACCTCCTCCCACACCCTCTCCAGTAGAGCTAGAGGTTGTAATGATCCTCCTGGTGTCATGGCAAAGTACTTGTGCCTCTGACACACATCACTTCTCATCACCCAGTCCTCTACGTCTCGATGCATCCCCACCCCATCCAGTATAACTCCGCGAACAGCCGACTATAGATTTTTTTAAATCCTGAGTGTCATCCAACTACGCTTCCATTAAACTCCTGCAAAAACTTGAGAATGTACCCCGGTGTCCATGGTAAGATGAATCACCCCTGATGTAGCAATGGGAGCTCCCTCAATGTGTAATCAGGATGACTGTGGGTCCTACAACGACGGCTCTGCGTTTCCCAGTCTAGAACCATATGTATTGATAAAGGTGTCAGTTGTAGTTCGTCCGTCTTCCACAATAGTGCATCCACGACCTTGTTCTCAAATCCTGGGCGATACTGAATCTCAAAATCATATCCTAGTAACTTAGATAACCACCTCCGGTGCTCCTCAGTCACATTCCTCTGCTCTAGCAGAAACTTCAAACTCCTCTGGTCTTTCCTGACAATAAAGTGTCACCCTAACAAATAGGATCATCACTTTTGGGTGGCTAAGATAATCGCCATCAACTCATGCTCATGTGGGGACTTGAGTATTGCCCCAGTCGTGAGCACCTGGCTAAAATAAGCAATGGGCCAATGATCCTACATGAGTACTGCCCCTAGTTCGTAGATGGATGCATCCATCTCCATCACAAATGGTCTGCTGAAGACAGAAAGTGCTAATATTAACACGTTGATCATAGCTTTCTTCAGCTGTTCGAAGGCTTGTGTTGTTGCTTCCCCCCAATTGAAATTTTCCATCTTCAGCTACTTAGTCAATAGTCATGATATTGTTCCATACCCTCGTAGAAACTTCCAGTAGTACTCGATGAGACCTAAGAACCCTTTCAACTCTTTCAAGCTCTTAAATAAAGGTTAATATAACATAGCCTCATTCTTTGGCTGATCTGCTACTACCCCTGCTCTATTCAACACATGTCCTAGATACTCCACCTATGGATGTGCCAAAGAATATTTCCTCAAGTCAGCATACAGCTGGTGCTCCCTCAAAGTCTCTAGTACAATCCTCAAGTGACCTACATGCTCTGCCTCCATACGACTATAGATTAGAATGTCATCAAAAAGACCAAGATGAACTTCCTGAGATAGGTTTGGAAAACCCGGTTCATGAAGAACTAAAAAGTGGTTGGAGCATTGATAAGACCGAAGGCATCATCAAAAACTTATAACTTGTCTTGTGCACATTTCTTGACTTCATGTCAATATTTGAGAAGATAATAGCCCCAAATAGTTTATCCAACACACATAATCACGGGGATATGAAACTTGTCTAGCACAGTTTCCTGTTTAGGGCTCTATAGTCCACACAAAACCTTCAACTATCGTCCTTCTTTTTCACCAGTAAAATTGGGCTACCTGGGCCTGATAATACCTGACTCAAGCATCTCTCCGATGAACCTCTTTATCTTATCATTTTGAATATGTGGGTACAAGTATAATCAGATACTGATAGGAGAAGCTCCATTCTTCAAGGTAATGGCATGCTCCTGCTCCCTAGGTGGCAGTAATCCATTAGGCTGCTGAAAAAATCTCAAGAAACTGCTATAAAAGTTGATGTACATACTCAGGGATCTCGATGGGCTTAGAGTCTTGGACCTCCTCTAGGCTTTGCATCTCCACCAAGTAGCCAACCCTGTTCCCTGTAGTCACCATGGTTTTGATTGAAACCATAGTTCTGCACAGGCTGACATCTTCTCGCAACACCACCGTCTTCCCCTCCATCTGAATCTCCATAGTCAAAGATTTCCAGTCCACCTCCATCTCCCCATTCATCTGTAACCACTTCATCACTATGATCACATAAATGCTCCCAATTTCAAGGAAAGAAAATTCTTCACTATATGTAGGCCTTGGAGTGTTAGCACCAACCACCTACTCTTCTCCACTTTTCCTGTCCCCATCATGACTCCAAAGCTCCCCGTATCCACTAACTTCAATTCCAACTGGTCCATGACCTAATTTGAGATGAAGTTGTGAGTAGCCCCGCTAATCGCTTTCTGACCTATCCCTCACATTTATGATGTGATTTGGAGTAATCGGTATCCTCTTCACAAAATGTTAGGGCCTGGAGTGTGTCGTCCTTGCACCGATAGTCTGACGCATACTTCTCATCCCATCGGAAGCACGCACCCTTCACCCTCTTGTTATGCACCTCTGCCTCTGTCAGGCGCTTGAAGTTGTCCCTGGAGCGAACTCCCCCACTTTTCTCCCTCGGCACCTCTCGCTGAAATGACATTGTCTAGGTCCTTGATACCAATGAAATCAAGGCATGCTTGTAGGAGCCTACCGTGACTCCGCTCCTACTAGTCCTCTCCATCTATCTCCGATCCTCCACCATCTGGGTTAGCTCTATCATTGCCCTCAACTCCCTCGACCTTAATTATCGGAGGTATACCCATAAGTCGGGTTTTAGTTCCTACAAGAAATTTCCCTCCAATACTGCCTCTGAAATACCCCTCAACCGCCTTGACAACAACTCAAATCTCTCCCGATACTTCATGATGATCCCCTCCCGAGTCAAGGCAAAGAATTGCTCGTGTAGACCTCTTTCCCGAATGGCTAAAAAATGCTCCAACAAGCAATCCTTAAAATCCTCCCAAGAGTGGATTGAATATTTAGCCTCTCTCCCATTGGAACCAAGCTAGGACTTTCCCCTCTAGACATAGCCCCGTGGTCATAAGCTTCTTCTCCTCATTCAACCCATTCACCGCGAAATACCTATCCACCCGATACACCCACCCCTGGGCATCCTCCCCTTCAATTGTCGGCATCTTCAACTTCCTCTGGATAGCATCTCCACTCTAACTTCCTTTCCCTCCAATGATTCCCCTCGTGCGAGGATGGGAATCCCATCTTTCTTTCATCCTATTTGCATGACCCAATCCCCATGGCTCGACTAGACCACCTTTTTTTTTCGCCCACTCCCCTTACCTAGAATGCCTCCCATAGTGGTCGGCCACCCCACCACCTCCACCACAAAATTCCCTCCTTGATGTTCCCCATCCAAAAATTCTGATCCGCCGCTTATCAAAACCCTTGGGATGTGGCTCTTGATGAAAGAAACCCTCTTCATTGAAGTCCTCTCGTCTGATCTCCTTTCCCTTATATTTGGCCAAGGAAATCTCAGTCAAATCTTGATTAGGGTTAGTAATCAGAGCCGCTAGTGGAGTTTTGGATTGCATCTCCTCCAACCCTCCAAATAATCTCTCCATTTGATTCTCCATGACTGAAAACCTTCCTTTGATGATTGAGAACTTCTCCTCCGTACTTAATTTGATTTGCTCCACTTCGCCTTCCAACATATCCACCTTCTATACTGTCATCTCTCAAAAACCTCTCTCTGATATCAATTTAATGTGATTTGAAAGCAAAAGATAGCAAAATAAATAAGAAGAAAATACATGAACACAAATATGGAGCCTGATTTTTTATTACTTCTTCAATAATAACTAAAGATACAATTGATCTGCTATTCGAGAGATTAGATCGGCTCTCCCACAAATCCTAGTCGTTGCAAGAAAACTCACAACGAAAGAGGAAAAATGAACTTGGCATATATAAGATGAAAACCCTAGACAAAACTCCCCCTTAAATAGCCAGAACACATAATAAGCACAATTAAAATCCTTACTAAACAGCTCTCTCTTGATTCATTCTCCTTACATAATGAATAATAGCTCTCCTTGGCCCCACAAAGGGGTCAAAATATTGCCTCATGCTGCCCCTGATTCCGTCCAGCTAATTGGTTGGTTCTGCCTGAGCTGGGCTGGCCTAGCCTGGTTTGGGCTGGCCTGGCCCCGCCCCTAGGGGTTGGCATATCAATCTACCTAAAAAACATCACCAGGGTCCACTTTTTAGGTGGCCTAATCAAAATGAGGAGAAAGTCAAACATCCTTGCTTGGATTGGATTATTACAATTTCACAGCCAATCAAGTGATGACATGACGTGAGTTTTTTTCACGTAGGTTTGGTGGATAGTATAGCATTTCTAAAAAAAAAATATTAATGTTAGCACCTTTAGAAGATGCACAATTAAAAAGGAACGAAAATGAAATAATTGATCTGTACCCGTCTGATTGCAGCCAAACAATCTTCTGCACGCAAAAAAAAAGGGGAAAGAATTGAACCTTTAGAGTGTCTTCCCACTGTATATTTTTCTATTAATGCAATGCTTCTATGTATAGCTATGTCATGAAACTGTTGATACTTTCTGAAAAGCAATGAAGTTCTACTTGCTAAGCTCCACATATATTTTGATTTGCTTACAGGATCTAAAACCCCAAACTTAAGCAGCTCTTCAACTGCTCCTTCAATTCCTGACACAGATCAAAAGTCAGTTGCTGTACCTCCATTACCGCCATTGTTAAGATCCCTCAAATCTTTTCAGGAAGATGAAGTACTGAAGAGAAAGACTGGGAACTTGAACGGATCAAAAGATACTGGACGAAACTTAATGGCTGAAATGCCTTGTGTTTCTACCAGATGTGGAGGTCCCGATGGTAAGAGGATTGAAGGTTTCCTCTATAAGTACACCAAAGGTGAGATCAGAATTGTTTGTGTTTGCCATGGAAGCTCCCACACTCCGGCGGAGTTCGTCAAGCATGCCGGAGGCGGCGATGTGGAAAATCCTCTCCGGCATATCGTTGTGAGCCCTACTCCCTCTGCTCATAATTACTGATGGTTTTAGGTTTATATGAACTCCTCACCTTCTCTACTAACAATGCTTGAAGTGCTAAGTGCTAAGTGCTATTCAACTCCAACCTCTCCCTTTCCTTTTTTTTTTTTTTTTTGTTGGATGCTCCAGCCGAAGACGGGGAGTCAAATCTTTCGTTATTTTTGTTTGTGTGGTGAAGCAAGTGCAAGTGATATAATTTGCGTGTTAGCAATTTCCGATTTTTTCTGTCTCAATCGGATTTGTCGAGAAATGCGTGAAAAAGCATAATTGACGGTTACCTGTAGAACGTGTAAAATGGAGTTCGATTGTAAATGATCAAGACATTTTTTAGTTTGTCACTGCATTTTGGGTAAAATTGAGATCGTGTGTGGAGATGACCTTAGCGGGAGCCGAGAACAGGTGTTCATTACTCGACGACGCCTAGGCAGATGAAACCACTTGGTTCCAACTGAGTGAGGGGTCTTGGCCTCATTCGTTCAATCCTCTAAGGCTTGGAGACCTAATTATATATAACTGAATAAGGGCTAGTCTTGACAATAAATTTAAGTTGTAAACAAGAATCTATTCTCAAACAACCATAAAAATGGGGAAATTCAACTTTGTATAGCTTATAGGATAGACTAATCTGAAGAAATATTACACTGATTATTTTAAATTGAAAAAATACATCTAATGTTTATGTTCAAGCTAGTTTACCTCCTATGTATTTTTAGTATGCTTAGTGATGCTTCGATTTATAGAAATTTGATTTGACATGAGGGCATTCACTAGGCTCAATAAGGACCGAGGTTGTTTGAGTGGCTTCTTACCGCTTTTTTAAATATCTTTTTTATACAGAAAATTAAAAATATTTATATTAATAAAACTGCTTTAAGAAGCGATAAAAAAGTCGATGATCTCGACATGAGCTCAGGCTAGAGGGACTCGCTTGAGGGATTAATGACATGTTGAGGAGCATGATCTTGCGACGGGAGCTCACTTTGGCTGCACCAATGTGATCCATAATGTATTAGAAGTTGATTTCATGAACAAGAGCTTCATTATGGAAGCCAAATATGGGATTGCATAGCATGGCGAGGAAGAGATAATGTTTCTTTGGATAGTATCTCAGGATGGGGCATCAGACATGCAACAAGCTTGGTGGGGGAAACTATATTGAGGGATAGTCACATGTCAGTAAATGCTTGAATTAAAATTAATTATGTATTTGAAAAAGGGTTAGTTCTAAACCTGCAATCTTATCTTCTATTTAAAATATTTTTTTTCGATACTATAAAGGAATAGGTTGTAGTGTGGTACTAATGTTTCTCAAAATCAATTTGGATTCATGCCGGGTAGGTCAACTATGGAAGTCATATTTATTAAGAGGTTGTGATGGAGAAAACATATAGAGAAACATAAGTGAGGATCTACATATGATATTTATTGATTTTAAACAGCATATGAATAAAGCTTCCAAGAGAGTGCTATGGGAGAGTTCTTTAAAAAAAAAGGGTGTTAATTAATGCTTATATTCAAGATCATTAAAGATATGTATTGGCATGAGCTATTACTTGTGTTCAAACACGAGGTGGTTTTGAGACAAGTATTTTCTACTCTCTCGATTGGGGTTACATCAAAGGATTTAGCTTTAAGTCCCATATCTTTTTTGCTTTAGTCTGGGATGTTCTCACTAGACTTTGCAAGAGATGTCTTGTTCGTATATGCTTTACTGATGATATTTCTTCTTGTTGAAATAAGACTAGAGAGAGAGGTGAAAGTAAATTAAATTATGGAGGTTAACATTCAGAGACTAAAGGTTTTCGCTTGAGTAGATCTAAAACGGAATATATATAGATGTAATTTTAGAAGTAATAAGACCTTCAGTGAGGGGATTGATGACTTTGAACCGAATCAAGTCATAATAAGAGTAGTCCGTTTAAGATATATTGGATATAATTGTTCAGAGTGATGTAAAATAGATGGGGATATTATTAGCAGATTTAAGTGGATGGTGAAGTGGAGGAATGCATCGGGCTTGTGTGTTTGAGTATAAGAAAAGTAACCTCCTTAAACTTAAGGGAAAATCTAAAGATGGTAGGTGAGGCCTGCAATGCTTTATGGTGTTGAAATGTTGGCCATTAAAGATAAGCTATAATAACTTAAGTTAAGTGTGAACAGAGATGAGGATGCGTCAGGTGGATGAGTGGCTTTACCCTTAGAAATAGGATGCGAAATGAGCATAATACGTGAAAAGGTCGCCTTAGATGGTTTTGCGTCACATAAAACGGCGCATCCAATGACCCGGTTAGTGAGAGTAGAGGTATTAGATTTGTTTTGCTTATGTTTAAGAAAGGTAGCAGGCAGACCTAGAAATACTTGGTTAGAAATATATAGGAATGACTTTTCTTTAGATGTTAAAATGAGAATTTTGACCTTTAATTGGATAGCAATGGCCGAAAAAAATTCATGTAGCCGCCCACGTAGAGTGGGATAAAGGCTTGAGTGTTATTGTTTAACTAATCTCGAACAAAATTTTAATTTTGACAATTGAATCAACATGTTGTATACAACATATTTAATATCAGTTTCATATGTAAAAAAATTAAATATGAATTAGATTTTAGACTTTTCTTAAAGAAAAATAAACAGAGCAACTATAATATATATATATATATTTATTAATCATATATTTTTATTGCAAGCTTGTCAAAAAGCCGGGTCCAGACTAGTTGTCGTTCCAGTCGGTTAATCATGAAACACTCCTATGGCAGGCTATGGCTGGTTTGGTCCCTGAAAAATAGGTCTAGCATCAAACTGTGGAGAAACTGGTTTAAACCACCGATTCAACGGCCGACCGTTGAAAATGTCCCTGTTTTTAGACCAGCGATCAATCATAAGATTTTAAATAATTAAATTTAATATAAATAATACTTATTAAATATTAATTAATTTAATGATATATTCAAAAAAAAACTATTAATTTATGTAAATAAACACTATTAATCATTCTATGATTATATTATCCCATGTGAGTTCTTAACCTATGAATACAAGAAAAGTGTTTATAAACTATGATATTAAAGCTCCTTAAGGATGTAAGATTAAAAATTAATAGTTTCTACAATGTGTGCATGCATGGTGGTTTACTATCTGAGAATTTTTTGAAAATTCTTTTATAAATACTTCAAATAAAAAAATAAATAATTTTTTAAAATATTTAAATATATAGATTATTAGTGTATTTATAATTATTGAATAAAATTAATTACAATTTTAAAAATTTTATAAGAATTCTCTCTAAATATGAAATTAAATGATAAAAGAAAAATAAAATAATCTAAAAATAAATAATATTGTGTGAGTTCTATAAATATAATTTAAATGTGAATATATAATAATTTATTAGATAGTAAGATTACAACTAAATATATAGCGATAAATTAGTAATTTTCATATTAAATTTATATTATGTTATATAAAAAATTAAATTTCTAATTAAATTATCTAAATTGAATTAAAATCAAAAATTTGGAATATTTATTCTAATCTAAAATTATATATACATTATTTATGTATAAATTTTATTTATTTTTTAATCTTAAAATTATTCGATTATAATTTTTAAGATTAAATTGCCATCTTTTTATATTTAATTTTAATTAATTTTAAATTATCATTATTTTATTATTCATTGATAGCGACAGACCTCGGTACCAATTTCCTGCACTGAAGTTAGCGGAACAGGAGATCGAGAGGTGCCACATAAAACGAACAGTTTTCTTATTTTTCAAAATTAAATTTAATCTTTCGTTTCTCATAGCGTTCGAACGGAAAATCCTATTTCTGTTCAATTAAGAGGGTGACTTCTAGGGTTTTTCTCCTCATCGTTATTGAGCTATCAAAGATGTCGATGTAACCATTAGGGTTTATTCCAGATCGAAGAAAGATGGAAACGGGAGGGGAGGAGGAGCAAGACGATTTATCAGGCCACTCTCCGGCAGGCTCCTCCCTCTTCCGCATCTTCTCTTCCGAAGGTTTATCTTTCAATGTCTTTTTATCACCCGTCCTTTTTTTTCAATTAAAATTGAATCAATGTAGTTCGAGTGAAGTGTCCGGTAAACTGATTTACTTATTTGCTTAATCCACATTATTTTGATATTTATGTCTCGTACAAATTAGGAGCATCCGCAAGTGGAATTGGAGTTGAGGATATTGGAAGCTTTGGAAATCTACCATCCAGCTAAATTACAAGGTTTTATGTTATGATACCTTCTTTGACGTTTTTTGGAAATTTCGTTATGAAATGACTTTATTACAGCTATCTGAATAATTATTTTTGTAGATACCTAAGCTTCAAACATTGTACCTTTGTAGAAAATAATTGCTTAATCAGTAGATTACCTTAGATTATTTGACCTCATCAAGCCACTATTAGTTAATAAGCACCAGGAGATTGGCTTAATATATTATCATCTCGTCAAGCTTCATATTACAACCTGTTGTTAGATAATTCATAAAGTTTGTATACAATAATTGGCTACCAACGCGACATGATTTCCAGCCAATGATCTGATGCTTTTAAATCTTGTGGATTATGTTTTCTAACTGTTGAATATGCATTGGTTGAAGTAATTAGCGCATAAATTATGGGCAATAAATGTTATTATTATCGTTTTGAAAAAGTGTTTAAAATGTTCGTTGCCCTTGTTTTATGTTTTTTGTGATATCATCTGAGTGGTTTTGACTTTTCATAAGATCGGTTCTTATAAACTTGAAAGTTGTGGTATAGAATTTCAATAAAAGAATG